TTTTTTTTTTAATTAATTGTAAATTAAACTAAACCCCTTCCATTTACAAACTAAATTAAAAACATAAAAAAATAATAATGGCAAAGTGAACTGCACTTGATTAGGGGTGTATTGATTTGGGATTTCGAGAAACTTTTCGATATTTGAGTTTTTTTAAGATTTTTAGATTTTGGAGGAGTCAAATTTTAAGTATTGAGATAGGATGTGGAATGTGATTTCGTATATGTTTTTTCTTTTAGAAATTCAATAAAATCTTAAAAAGTCTTAAGAAATCATAGTATCACCCCCGTAGAATTTTATAATATTTTTAAAATTCCAAGTAAATAGTTCAAGACTTTTAAATTAAATACACTAGGATTTCAAATCTTAAACAGTATTTAAAAATATTTAAAAAACCCAATTGGACACACTTAAAAGAAGAATGACAAAAAAAGTATATATACAACATACATACATGCATGCATTGACCGTGTTGGATGGAGATGAGCTGATGAAGCAGTCATACCGTACAACTGGACTTTTATTTCGATCTCATTTTCCAAATTCCGTAATGTTAAGTACATCATTATATTATATCTCACATTTAATACCTATATATATGAAACTTGTCACATACTTAGAACGAACGGCCACATAATTTGAGTCATCATACATGCATGATCAACCACAATTGCCCGAAATTCACGCAATCATGCATTTGTTGCATGATGAAAGAAACTAAAACCCATCAAATCCGCTTATTCTTCTCGCCGGCGGGCTCTAATCTCCGGCCATAGTTTTTACGATGAAAGTTGAGAAACAGCACTAAAAGTGAGGTCCCAAACAGCACGTTGAGAAACCACGGCCACATCCCGGCGCAGCCCGGCCCGGTAACATGCAAATAGAGGGTGATGCTTGCGACGAGGTAGCCGAATAGAAACTGCGCGATCTGGCAGTTGGTGACGGCCTTCTTCCACGGCGGACGGAATCCGAGCGCCGCCAGCAGGTAGTACGCGTACATCACCACGTGAACGGCCGCGTTCGTCGCCAGCCCGACCGGAAACAGGGACTGGGGCGCCGCCAGCCACGCATAGCACATCCCCACGACCGCCGCGTGGTGGTACACGTGGAGGAACGAGAGGCGCCGGCGGGCCCCGCTCAGGAGGATGAGGAGGGTGTCGGCGAACTCGAGGATCTTGGAGAAGTAGAAGACGTGGGCCCAGAAGAAGGTGGGCCCGCGGGGCGCGGTGGAGGGAATTAAGGGAAAGCAGAGGGGCCACGTGGGGTTGTCGGGTGGGGTCTGGTGGAAGGCCGAGAGGGCGGTGCCGGCGGCCATGACGAGGGAGAGGAGGCAGAGGATTACGTTGTGGGCGGCGGCGGCGGCGCGGAGGGCTGCGACGGGGAGGGACGGGAGGATGGGGAACTGCCGGAGGAGGAGGGTTAGGGTGAGGTAGGTGCACACGGTGGTGGAGAGGAAGAGAGGGCTGGCGCCGGGGGATTGCCCAGGTTTCCACTCGTATTGGCTGATCACGGGGTGGTCTACCAGCCAGTAGTGGACCGCGTCGTAGAGAATATTAGTCATTTTTTATTTTTAATTTTTTTTTTCTGTTTGTTACACGATTAATATTAGGTGTTTGTTTTGCGGGAATGAAATGTGAATTGGATGAACCCTTTTAAAGCGTTGGATTTGGAGTGGGCGGCGAGTGGGGGGAGTTGTATCGCGTTGAATAGTAACAAGAGTTGATGTAAATTGGTTTTAGGTAAAATCCTCCAAAGCAAAAAAATCTAGTGACCAACTGTATATTTACTATGTCGTGCGAAAGTGCGATGCACGGGTAAATAATACTAATTAATAATTATAAATTAAAGATGAAAGTAAATTATATTAACTAAAAATTATAAGTTAAATATGAGAGTAAATAATATTAACTAATAATTATAAATTAAGTTGTTGAGTTAATATACGACATAATTTATCATATCAGTTGTAAACATTGTAAAACTATCTTGTATAAAATAACCTAGAAAAATGTATGTTTAAAATATTAAAAACGCCTAAGATACTATGAAATGTATGTACAGTATCTAAATTTTATATATCATTATTGAAAGATGTGAAATCACTTAAAATTTTTCTAAACTAATTTGTAAAGAAAACATGTCTAAAACTTTTAAAAAGTTCTTACCTACATTATATTATTCAATTTCAAAAAGATGGTGATAAGTAAAAGTTTGAATTTTAAAATCCACATGAGTATCTATTTTGAGATTCGTGTACTATTCAAATTATTAATTATGTTCATTTCCTGTGAACTTCATATTGATTTATTGATTTTATTTTATTTCCATATAAAGTTGATTATCTCATTTTGTTTTACCATATTTTCTTGGAGATTTAACAAAGTCGGTTGCATTTATAAAATGATTTAGATATCAACATACAATTATAATTGAGTTCGATGAGTTTTTTAAGCTGGGTATATAGATTTAAAATTGTAAAAAAAAAAAAAAAAAAAAATACTTTCATAAATCATTTGATTTGGTATTTTCGGAGAGCTTAATTAATTTAAAAGTGTAAAATAAATAAATAAAAAAAGTACAACTGAAAAAGTTATAACCAATTGTATGGAGAATCAAACTAAATCCAATTTTGTAGGTTGATTAAATATTGATTAGATTTTATATGTAAAATAAAATAAAAAATAACTGAAATAGTTTTACGTGTTGCAATAATTTACATTTAAAAAAATTTAAAAATCTTCTTTTACGTATTGCATACCAACATTTTAAGAAATTCATGGATAATCCTAAATTAATATTTCATACCAATATTTTAGAAACTAATTAAATACTAATTTGATTTGCATACCAAAAATATTAGATGCATTAATTAAATGCTTGATAAAAATAGCAAATCATTAATTATGGTTGACTATTCTACATATTACATTTAGTAAATAGTATAGCTTTTAATATAAGTATAGATTTAGAAGATTATATACGTTCATTCAACAATAAATGTTATAATAAAAGTTTGTGTGAGCAGGACGAAGTTAACCGACTAACATGATATAGAGAAATACTATGATCTCGTTACGAAACCATTTTATCAGAAGTTTTAATCGATTGATCGTCATGTTGTTAGTATAGGATAGATGATTTTACGGTTAAAACTCCCGACGGAATGATGCTGTAACCAAACCGTAACATTCTCCCATGATATAAATTTGTAAGGTACAAAGTTTCTTGTAGTGTATTGCATCACGACTTTACTCCCATATCAACACATATGAAAAGTGTGTGATCCAACTATATAAACTAAACATTTTTGTCCTTTTTGCAAACACATAAAATACTTCTTTCCGTATTGTATATTATTTTGAGGATCTATATG